TCACTGGGAGGGGGTGAAGGTCAGCCAATCACTGGGAGGGGGTGAAGGTCAGCCAATCAATGGTAGAGGGTGAAGGTCAGCCAATCAATGGGAGAGGGTGAAGGTCAGCCAATCAATGGGAGAGTGTGAAGGTCAGCCAATCAATGGGAGAGAGTGAAGGTCAGCCAATCAATGGGAGGGGGTGAAGGTCAGCCAATCAATGGGAGGGGGTGAAGGTCAGCCAATCAATGGTAGAGGGTGAAGGTCAGCCAATCAATGGGAGAGTGTGAAGGTCAGCCAATCAATGGGAGGGGGTGAAGGTCAGCCAATCAATGGGAGGGGGTGAAGGTCAGCCAATCAATGGGAGGGGGTGAAGGTCAGCCAATCAATGGGAGGGGGTGAAGGTCAGCCAATCAATGGGAGAGGGTGAAGGTCAGCCAATCAATGGGAGAGGGTGAAGGTCAGCCAATCAATGTGAGGAGGTGAAGGTCAGCCAATCAATGTGAGGGGGTGAAGGTCAGCCAATCACTGTGAGGGGGTGAAGGTCAGCCAATCACTGGGAGGGGGTGAAGGTCAGCCAATCACTGGGAGGGGGTGAAGGTCAGCCAATCACTGGGAGGGGGTGAAGGTCAGCCAATCACTGGGAGGGGGTGAAGGTCAGCCAATCACTGGGAGGGGATATGTCAGCTTATGTCCGAGGACAATGTTAATTAAGAGGTTGTGACTTACTTAATTAGGCTGTTTAATTATTGCGTAAGTCCTAATTAATCTTTACGTTTATTATATTTCACTTAGTACGTATTCCTCAGTTGTAGCCTAGTGATAGCAGGTCTAAACGTATAACGACGCACTGTTGCATTTTAAAAAGTCATTTTCAAACTGAATTTTTACCGATACTTCACGTTTTAAAAAATATTTCTTTTTGAATTTGCAATGAAAAATCTATAAAATTTGACCAAGTTGAGAAAAAAAAGAGAAAAGTAGCAATTATTTTTTTTTTGGGGGGGGGGGGGGGGGGGGGCTACCTTTATGTGTGGCGTCATATTTGAGGGGTCTGGCTTTTTGTGACGACGTGTAAAAATATGGAGGGTCATTATGGTGATTGAGACCCTATGGGGCTCAGAGGGTTAAATACACGAATAAAGTTTCTACCTAAGGTCTTCGTCAGCGGCATGCACAAGGCTTTATAAGTTTAAAACAAACAATTAGAGTTACGTTATAATGACGACACGTGACATTCTCTATTTCGGTTTTTAAAAAAAAATTCTCTTCACAATAGTTGTAAACTAGTTAAAAAAAACAAACACATTGAAATATAATCAATTACGATCTAGTTCAGTTTAGTAGAGTTAGTTATTAACTATTATTAACTGTAAAGCCCAACCAGAAGAGATTAAAAAGTTTAATCTAGATGATCTAGTGACAATAAGAATAACGCAGCTCAAGTTTAAGAAACAAATATTTTTCTTACTTGAGATCGAGGATCAAAGTCCACCTCAGAAAATCCTTACAAAGACGTAAGCCACAGAACCACTTAGGTTTAGCTAGACTACAGTAGGTTACAGTAGGTTACAGTAGGCTACAGTAGACTACAGTAGGCTACAGTAGGCTACAGTAGGCTACAGTAGGCTACAGTAGGCTACAGTAGACTAGATCTACACATTTGAGTTGCTGTCTTCTGTCGTCTGCTACGAATGACGCGGGGCCACCTGACCGCATCAGGAAGTAAAACCTCAGAGCAGGCTAGCAATAAAATGGTGGATTGGATTTTGTTTACATAGTTTATATACAAGCCGGAGGAGGGGGGGGGGGGGTAGAATGTATGTAAGGCTTACGAGATAAGGGGGAAAAAAATTTACCCCAGATAGACTCAAGAGCTTCCACCAAAACACAATACCCTTGAATAGCTAAGTGCTGATAGTCAAGCACAGGCGTTCTTAAAGTAAGCTACATACAAATGTGAATATTCACTACACTATCTATAGTTATATCACTTTCTAAAGTTATGGCACTTTCTAGTAACGACACTTTCTGAAGTTACTACACTTTCTAAAGTTACGCCACTTTCTAAAGTTGCGTCACTTTCTAAAGTTGCGTCACTTTCTAAAGTTACTACACTTTCTAATGAACGGCACTTTCAAAAGTTACTACACTTTCTAAAGTTACGACACTTTCTAAAATTACGGCACGTTCTAAAGTTACGGCAAGGTCTAAAGTTACGGTACGTTTTACAACTACATTCCTCACACACCCTGATTGATGACGTCACGCGAATGTTACCCCCGACAAAAAAGTTAGACAAATGGGATCCTAATCTTTTCAAAAGCCCTGATATGATGCCGGTCTTAAACTAAAAGCAGTTACTTTGTTATCAGAGCACATCTCCCTCTCACCCCCACCCCACCTCTTCGTGCGGTGTTACCTATCTATCTATATATATAATTCTCTTCTGGGAGACGCTTGAAAACAAGCTGTAAGCGCGCTCCCTACCACCCCCACCCCTATATGGTCTGGTGAGCTGTTGTTCGGGCTAAATGTTTACAAGCAGAGCCGGGTTTAGTGACGACTATTAGGGGGAGATAATTTAGTTTGAAACGATTTTTAACGTAGGGGGGGGGGAGGTAACTAAGTGGAGTTTACTTTAACGGAGGGGGGGGGGGTGTGAAAGGAGGGGGGGGGGGTTTATCGTCCTTAACGAGCTACTTATAGTGTTTTAAAGAAATATTTTCATTGACAGCATTGGTACTGTCGAATTCACAAATTATGAATTACTGAAAAGTAGAAAAAACAACAACTAAATAGCGGCGTATGATACGCCGCGGGTCGGCTCGTTTACAGAAATCCCCATCTTCGTCGCGTAAATTCTCCAGACTCGCAAAGACGAGAGTCAGTCAAGCGTAGCCGGCGTGAAATATCTGGTGGTGGCTGTAGCCGGGGGTGGGGTGTCTGGTGGTGTTTTTGTTTACATGAGGTGGGGTGTTGTACAATGGTGGTTTTTTACGGGAGGTGGGGTGTCTAGAGGTAATATAACAGGAGGCGGGGTGTCTGGTGGTGTTTTTGTTTACAGGAGGTGGGGTGTCTATAGGTAATATAACAGGAGGTAGGGTGTCTAGAGGTAATATAACAGGAGGTGGGGTGTCTAGAGGTAATATAACAGGAGGTGGGGATTTGGTGTTATTTTTACTTGACTTAGACACAAACTAATAGACAAGGATGTTCAACTAGAAATATAACCACTGACACACCCACGTCAAAGCATTAGTCTAACCAATTAATTAACGCTAACCATCTGGTTAACTGCAATATTAACCAATTCGTTTAACGACCTAAGCCCGACATTCTCCGGACAAAACCATGACATGACTTTACTGCCTTAGGGCAGAAAGTAAGACATTAATTTCCAAGCATGACTTCATATTTCAGGGCATCAAATTTAGGGGTAAAATATTTTATAGTTATGTACTAGTTCTAGGGCGCCATAAGTTGGTATTTCCGCAAGCTAAAATTAGAACATATTTTCTTGTTGAATATCATGACTTAGCTCTTTTATTGATGACGTCAATGAGATTATGCTGGGTAACCCAAGAACTTACATTTGATGTGGTGCGCGGCATAGCTTGCACTCACAGGAACTGGATTAGGTTACCGTGTTATTGCGTCTTAGAGAAAATATGTATGGTGTAAAGAGTTGACAAATTTCAAGAAATAATTTATAGTGTAAAGAGTTGACAAATTTCAAGAAATAATTTATGGTGTAAAGAGTTGACAAATTTCAAGAAAATATTTATGGTGTAAAGAGTTGACAAATAAATACTTTGATATCACCAAGAAGCTGACGGTTTCGTAGGACCTACAGTATTAAAAGCAACGTCACTGTGCTCATGTAATTAAGGGGACGTCTGAAAATAATGACACAACGTTTACTTCGCTCCCCACCCCCTCCCCAATTTATCGTCCAATATAACAGTCTCTGCGCTGAAATCACGTCAACTAGTTTAACCGAATTTTACCTAGTTTAACCAAATCAACTGAATTCACATAGTTTACCGGAATTCACATAGTTTACCGGAATTCACATAGTTTAACCGAATTCACCTAGTTTAACCGAATTCACCTAGTTTAACCGAATTCACCTAGTTTAACCGAATTCACCTAGTTTCCGAATTCACCTAGTTTAACCGAATTCGCCTAGTTTAACAGAATTCACATTGTTCACCATCTAAAATAACAGCACGTCTAACATATGGGAGCAGGACATTACCCCCCTCCCCCCGGACCCCGGGTTAATTATTGCCCTGGAGCAATTACTACCTTTCAATTACCCCCCCCCCCCCCGACTAGTTAGGGATAACTCAGTGATAGGGTTAGAGGCAGGTTTAGAGTTGGGATTAGGATTGATATTGGAGTTAGGGTTAGCTATAGGTTTGTCGTTGGGGTTTATGGTAAGGGTCAGGGTTCCTCAGTATAGGGGGGGGGGTCATGTTCTAGACCCCTAGCAAACAGCAAACACATAAGCGAAGCACATAGTCACAGGTCTAAACCGCCCCATCCCTCGTGTGATGGACCCCCACCCCCTCCAATTGTACATTCAGTAAGTGAGCAGAAATATTATGCCAGAGAAAATTCCAGAAGACAATGTGGAGCTACTGGCACAATGAACAGACGACAGTAAATTTGGCGCCATAACATCATGTATTTATTTGTTGGATGACAGATTCATGACGCAATAAAATGTACATATAGTAAGTAGCACATAATGCCATAGTGTCATAAAATATGTAGCACATAACGAAATAGTGTCATACAATATGTAGCACATAACGCCATAGTGTCATATATCTATCAGGCCTAGCTGTCACGATTATATAAGTTGGCTTTAATAACTTTACCACAACTCATACTTTTAACCTTACACAGTCCATAACCTAACCCCAATACACTTCATACCCCAACATTACCACGAACCGACCTCCTAACCCCATCTAATTATGTCCCCCAACACATGCATTACCTGGACTTACCTGTATATCTAGGTCAACACGTTCCGCTATAGTCCTGGTGGCAGTGTCGCACACGTTCAATCATAACACGATCTTGACACACCTGGGTAACACACCGCGGAATCACCAAAATCACACACAAACACAACAGCGAATCACACAAAAATTCCTCTAGCTGTCCTTAAGTCTGGGGGCCTTCACAAATAAAGTCCCACTACTCTGGGCGACTGTACAGTCTAGGCAAGTCCGATAACTCTGGGCTCCACTCTCGCATCTCGGCCGTCTATATTTAGTGCTGGTGGTTTACTGGCGGTGGGGACCAAGTCTGGGACGGTCACAGGACGATGACGTGGGCTGATAGACACATTTTACCTAGCGTTAGTTCTTGTGGAGGGGTGTACGTGCCCGTGGGTGCCAGACCCCGCAGCAAGCAGAGCGTGACTGACTGCATCGTGTTCATGCAGGAATGTTTGCTAGGTAAGTCTATATCAGGGGGGGGGGGGGGGGAGAAAGGGGGACTGAACTGGCAGATAACTTAGAAAGTGAAAGGATAATTTAAGGAATTAATTTCCTTGCAATGGTTGATATTTGCTGCAAAGTCAACTCATGTTAACGTAGGTTTAGATAAAGACGCTATTGACACCACTGGTGTGATTACAGATTTAGCTAATTATACTACCGACACGACTGGTGTGATTACAGCTTTAGCTAATTATACTACCGACACGACGGATTTGATTAAAGATTTAGCTAATGGCACGACGGATGTGATTAAATATTTAGCTAATGACACGACGGATGTGATTAAAGATTTAGCTAATGGCACGACGGATGTGATTAAAGATTTAGCTAATAACACGACGGATGTGATTAAAGATTTAGCTAATGGCACGACGGATGTGATTAAAGATTTAGCTAATGACACGACCGGTGTGATTAAAGATTTAGCTAATGACACGACTGATGTAATTAAAGATTTAGCTAATGACACGACTGATGTGATTAAAGATTTAGCTAATGACACGACCGGTGTGATTAAAGATTTAGCTAATGACACGACGGATGTGATTAAAGATTTAGCTAATGACACGACCGGTGTGATTAAAGATTTAGCTAATGACACGACGGATGTGATTAAAGATTTAGCTAATGACACGACGGATGTGATTAAAGATTTAGCTAATGACACGACCGGTGTGATTAAAGATTTAGCTAATGACACTACTGGTTTGATTACAGATTTAGCTAATGACACGACCGGTGTGATTAAAGATTTAGCTAATGACACGACGGATGTGATTAAAGATTTAGCTAATGACACGACTCATTAAACAGTTAAACAGAACAATGACCGCTAGAGATTTCAAGCTCGTCCATTCAGTGTGTGTGTGTGTGTTTGTGTGTGTGTGTGTATGGATTTGAGGGGGGGGGGCAGGACATATAGGAACTTGCTGAATAGAAGAGATGCAAGTGGTCGAGGGATAGGCCTAGAGGGCTAATCATTAATTGATGATTGGTTGTCAGGAAATCCAGCGTTATCAAGATTATTCGATCACCATCATCATAATCATTCTTGTTGACCCCTTGTGGAGCATAGGGACGTAACCACACCTCCCCATCGTTTTCGGTTCGGGACGATTCCTCCAAGTTTGGCCCATGACATTCCTCCAAGTTTGGCCCATGACATTCCTCCAAGTTTGGCCCATGACATTCCTCCAAGTTTGGCCCATGACATTCCTCCAAGTTTGGCCCATGACATTCCTCCAAGTTTGGCCCATGACATTCCTCCAAGTTTGGCCCATGACATTCCTCCAAGTTTGGCCCATGACATTCCTCCAAGTTTGGCCCATGACATTCCTCCAAGTTTGGCCCATGACATTCCTCCAAGTTTGGCCCATGACATTCCTCCAAGTTTGGCCCATGACATTCCTCCAAGTTTGGCCCATGACATTCCTCCAAGTTTGGCCCATGACATTCCTCCAAGTTTGGCCCATGACATTCCTCCAAGTTTGGCCCATGACATTCCTCCAAGTTTGGCCCATGACATTCCTCCAAGTTTGGCCCATGACATTCCTCCAAGTTTGGCCCATGACATTCCTCCAAGTTTGGCCCATGACATTCCTCCAAGTTTGGCCCATGACATTCCTCCAAGTTTGGCCCATGACATTCCTCCAAGTTTGGCCCATGACATTCCTCCAAGTTTGGCCCATGACATTCCTCCAAGTTTGGCCCATGACATTCCGGCCGCTTCTGCTTCAGTGACAGCCTACCTTTCCATGTTTGTTTGGCCTGCCTACTTCCCTCTTTCCTTGGGGACTCCAGTCTAGCACCTGTCTGGTGATGTAGTGTTGTTGGTGGTTTACGAAAGGTGTGTCCTATCCATCCCTAGTTGCCAATAGGGTCTGGCCCAGTTTTTCCCCTCACGTTCAATATGCGGCGTAGGAATCCGTCAATGAAAGTCTGAAGTTCGTTGTTTTTTGTTTGTGTTACTTTCCACGTCACAGAACCATGGAGGAGAACAGATGTCACATTGCTGTTAAATTAACATGTATGTGCTCTACACGTCCTGGTTGTGTGGAGGGTGAAATTAACATGTATGTGCTCTACACATCCAGGTTGTGTGGAGGGTGAAATTAACATGTGTGTGCTCTACACGTCCAGATTGTGTGGAGGGTGAAATTAACATGTATGTGCTCTACACGTCCAGATTGTGTGGAGGGTGAAATTAACATGCATGTGCTCTACACGTCCAGATTGTGTGGAGGGTGAAATTAACATGTATGTGCTCTACACGTCAGGGTTGTGTGGAGGGTGTTGAATGTGTACCTCGTCCTGCTGGCGTGTCTTTTAATGTCCTCATCTGCTCCCTCATACTTACTTACTACACTTCCTAGATGTGTGAAGTGATCCACCTCAGAAATAGTCATTTCTTTATCTGAAGTGGGAGCTCCTGTTTGTTGTAAATTCTCAACACCTCTGTTTGTCCCAGTTAATCTTTAGGCCCGTCTTAAGAATCTCATCGCGCTGAGTTTGCTTAGCTTGGGCTGGTCATGCTGTTGTTGATGTGAGAGGAGGCTGATGTCTCCACAAATATAGAGACTCAAGCTGTTGAGTTAGGAACCACTGAATTCCATCTTTTTTGGTCCGTGGATGGTCTTCTCATGATCAAGTCAATGAATAAATATAAGGGAAGTAATCAAGATAATCTTTAACCAATATTTTAAATGTTAGGTCTGAGTCAATAAGGGAAGTAATCAAGATTACTTTTCAGATTTTGTAAAGCTAGAGTTATCGTTTATTAAATTAAAAAAAGATTCTGTATATTTTCTTTTGTTACCACTAACTATGCGACGTCCATTGATAAGGTTTGCGTGGATGGACGGGCGGTCGTTGGGATGAGTGGGGGGGGGGGGCATGTCTAATTTAGTTGCATGTAAACTGGCCCCGTCGAGGTAGGGGGGGGGGAGGGTTGAGAACGACGGTAAATGTATGACCATATAACATACATGTGTATGGCATGTACTAAAACTCAACTTCAGTGGATAAACGGCATTGCTCGTGTTAAGGATAACAAGTTTAATAATTAGAAAACGAAATCAAGTTTTTATAGTATGCCATTCTACCGATAGTGCTGTGTGCTAGGCGGCGGTTAAGGGGTAATGATCCCGGTGTGGCTCTACTTCATTAGCCTATTAATTAGGCACCCCACCTAGTTACGCCACTGGATTTTTAGTTCTGTTGTTTATTAAATAATTTTTTTAAAAAGTAGTGTTGAGGAATGTGTAGCAATTTAACATATGACTTGAAGTATTTGTAATGTGTGTGAGTGTATGTATGTATGTGTGTCTGTGTGTGACGTGTATCTATCCACATACTCCGGGTAAGACGTCTAACATATACGGTGTATAGCTTTTGTTTCCTGATAGTTGACTGGTTGTATGCCAACAATAAAACGATCACGTCAGGACAAATCTCTGGCACAGTATGCCACTGTACCGTGAGGCTACCACTGTGCACGTGTAACACAGTGCCCCTGTTTCACGGTATCACTGTTGGCGTACCACTGTATCACTGTACCATGGCGCCACCTGTACCACTGTGCCCGTGCGCATTTTTAAACGCTCTACCACTGTGCTCATGTACCATTGCGCCTTAGTATCACTCTACCACTGTACCACTATGCCCCTGTACCACTGTGTCCCTGTGCCACTGTGCCCCTGTACCACTGTATCACTCTTCCACTGTGCCACTGTATCACTCTTCCACTGTGCCACTGTACCACTGTATCACTCTTCCACTGTGCCACTGTATCACTCTTCCACTGTGCCACTGTACCACTATGCCCCTGTGCCACTGTACCACTATGCCCCTGTGCCGCGTCCGTCAGGTTAGATCAGCGAGCCTCACATTCAACAGACGCAGGTGCTGATAGATCACGTGACCTTGCACCGGATGTCTTAACCCACCAATCAGATGCAAGGCTTTTGTGTTTAATATCTAAGCTGTGAAGATCATGTTACCTTTCTTTGGACGCTGGTGCAAATTGGCTTCCACTAGAGCACCCACACCCCTCCCCCTCCCACACATCTATCTGCTTGATGGAAGTTTCGAGAACAAATCTGGGGCGTTCTATAAGTGGATCTAGCGGTGTAGACATACTTTGGTCTTTGGTCCATGTACCATCGTCTTTTTCTATATCTAGTAGTCACCAAGTAATGAGATGACAGTTCAGATCTATAACATTAAGCCCCCACCCCTCTCATTAACCCACCTGCGTACTTACCCCCCCCCCCCCCCCTCCTCGCTAGGCGAGCTGTCAGCCCAGTGATTCTTCCAAACTTATTTCTCGGGGGGGGGGGGGGGGGGTTGAATTTTGGGGGGGGGGGGGGTGGGGGTGGGGAGGGACTAAAATTGCCTGGGGGGGGGGGGAGGACACTGTTAAAAGTATATATTTTTTCTATATAAATTGCATTTCGTTAGGGGGGGGGGCGGAGACTCCTCGAAGAAATGCCTGGAAGAAATTCTGTGTCAGCCTCCCCCCCCCCCTCCTATAAAGCCATTGTTTGAATCCACTCTCCCCAATCTGGGTTGAGGCGCTGGATATATAGGTCACGTCTGCTGCACATTTTTATCGCCCGACTCACCGTGAGAACCCGATGTGACGTCACGCGATAAGATGGCGGGCGAGGGCGCTATTGTTGGGCTCGTCAAGATAAGTGCGCGCGGCGTCAAAAGCGCTGCACCGGAAGTTGGGTTTAGGCGGGTGCCAGACAGTTGATGACGTCTTGCTACTGGCCAGACACGCTGGGATTGGAGCGACGTCTGAAGCAGGTTGTTGGTTTGATAAATGAGCTGACAACACCCATGGGTGTGATCAACGAGCTGACAACTCCCATGGGTGTGAACTACTTCACGTCGCACCCTCACGTCCACGTACCCGGATGTACAAGAACAACTTGTCGCACGTGCACATTTCGTAGATTTGTGTTTGGAACTTTTCCTTTGCTTGCGTATCCTGTCCGCTAACGGGTTAGCACTAAAATATGTTACTCCTTTGTAATCTGGGTGGGGATTGGAGGGGTGTGGGTGGCGGTGAGGTGGGTTGGGGTTGCGGGGTGGGGTAAGCATAGGGTGAGGTGGTTGTGGAACTGTGACAGTCCGTGACGTTGGAACCTGACCAAATCAATTAAACCAATGCTAGATCTGTATCAAACTTAAAACAATTTTAAAAAAACATGTTTTTTAACCGACAACTCATGGCACATTATCAAAAATGTTGCACACATTTTTATAATAAACAATTTTAACTACATAAAGCAGAGCCATGTTCTTTACTTTTTTTAGCACATTTCAAAGCTTGTTATTATTTATAATAGGCTTTTATTTTTGTTTTAATTTTGTTTCATATAAGGCAATACATTTGTTGTTTAATTTTTAGGATAATTTTGTCATTTCAATTCATATTGATGATTACGTATAGTCAAAAACCCTTTTGCTAAATTTGAATTTTTTTTGTTGGGTATAAAATATAACTTTGACGAAACTAATTTCTTTATAATCTAATTGAGTTTTAATTTTTTCCTGATATTTGAATCCAAAATGCAGTTGGAGGATTAAATCGTATCCTTAACACAACACAAAATTGTGTTTATTTAACAAGGCCTGTTAGCACGTGAAATGTAAATTAAGTTCTCTCCCCTCCCGGAAATCGGTCACAGAACAAACGAAAGTAGAGCGTGCACATTTTCTTACTGCTGGGCACCACATGTGGCTCCACCGCTACCCACACTTGTTTCCCTGCTGAAAAAGATGAACGCAAAAAGCCAGATTT